TTTCATGGTAATATTCTTTCCCTTTTTATGTTGGCACTATTTGATTTACTACAACTTAAAAAAAATTCTTTATCTTACCATCTATTCTATTAAATCCCCCCACATAATACTTCACTTCTTGAATCTCCATGTTGTTGCTGTAGTCTACACTGTTTGATCTTTAGATTTGCTGCACGGTTGTCCTTTTGCCTTTTTCTAAGGCTGGTACATTTTTTTCCTGAACCCCAATTTGTCCTTGTTTTCCTGGAATATATGGCTTAATGATATTCTAAAAAATCACCAGGAGGATAATGTTCTATTTGAAATAACATTATTTTTGCTGTCATGGTTGATTGATAATTTGAATGAGTACAGAATTTTATTGAAAAATATGTCGTTAAAACTTTGAAAATACTCTGTCATTGTCATCTAGTATCCATTGTTACTGATAGAACTGATCCTCATTTCTTTGTTGATAACATGTATTTTATGTTTAAAAACTTTTGGGATTGATTATGATGATGATGATAATAATTACATCATAATGTCTCCAAATAAGAATCTTTTTTTCATCTATTTTCCAGTACCTTGTAAATATCCTCATTCTGAAAACTTATTTTCTTCTATATTAAAGAAATAAAAACAACATAATTTTTACTTTTAAATTTTTTTCTCTTCTACTACTTGAATGTTATAACTGTTAGATAGGCTGTCCCTGGTTAATCTTTTCTTTCAAATTTTCTACTTGTGGGCTGGGGATGTGGCTCAAGCGGTAGCGCGCTCGCCTGGCATGCGTGCGGCCCGGGTTCGATCCTCAGCACCACATACCAACAAAGATGTTGTGTCCGCCGAGAACTAAAAGATAAATATTAAAAATTCTCTCACTCTCTCTTTAAAAAAAAAATTTTTTTCTACTTGTGTCTTTCTTTGTATGCTATGATCTCGAAGATTTCTTTAATATTTAGTATTTCAATTTTTTAAATTTAAGTAGTACCATCAATGTCTAAGAGCTTTTTTTATACTATGGTTGCTCTTTTTCCAGACAACTTTGTTCATATCTTAAAGCATGTCCCAAATTCCAGAATATATAAATTGGAATTCTTCAAAATGTTCTTTTTTATTTCATGAATTATATTTGCTTTCTTTAAAGTTAGTTTTTTCATTGGCTTTCTTTTTTCTGATTTTCCTATTAATTCTTCCTCTGGTGTTTAAGCATAAATGATAGTTGATACAGTTTGCCTTTAGTGAGTAGGATGTCTGCCAGTTCTCTCTCCTATGTAGTAATTATAAACAAACAACTGCGATATATATATAGGGCAGGGCCAGCAATGCCAAATACCAGATTTTACTATGTTTTATTATAGGATGTATAGTCAAGTAGCAAGTTCTCAGGATGCTTTCCTTGAATAAGATAACAAAAATAGTTTTACTCTGTGTTACCAACATAAAAGCTTTCACTTTCTCCTTACTAACTATTGTTAGTTATTAATTTTTGCTGGCTACTTAGGAGGCTGAGGCAGAAGGACTGTAAGTCTGAGGCCAGCCTGGAAAATTTAGCAAGTCCTCTCAAAATAAAAAATAAAAAGAAATGGTGATGTAAATCAGTGGTAGAGCAATTGCCTATTATGTACAAGGCCCTGAGTTCAATCCCCCAGTACCACAAATATGAACAAACAAACAAACAAACAAACAGTTCTGGGAAAATTGAATATCCATATGCAGAACACTGAAATTTGATGCTTCTCTTATTGTATAAAAGTCAACTCAAAATTGATCAAAGACCTAAAGGTAAGACTGAAACTGGGATATTATTAGAATACAGGTAAAACAGTTTGTACAAATAGTGCAGACAATGATTTTGTGGACAGGACCCCAAAAGGACAAGAAATATAAGCAAAAATTGAAAGGTGGAATTACATCAAATTGAAAAGGTGATGTACTTCAAAGGAAACAATCAATAGTGTAAAGAAAGAACCTACAGAATGAGAGAAAATATTTGCCAACGATTCATCTAACAGAGGAATATGTAAGGAACTAAAAAAAAAAAAATTAAAGTAAACCCCCTAGCAATTCAATTAAAAAACTGGCAATCTGAACAGACACTTCTCAAAAGAAGAAATACGAATGGCCAACAAATGTATAAAAAATGCTTAATATTACTAGATATCAGGGAATTGCAATCAAAACTACAATGAGATATTATCACATCCTAATTAGAATGTCTATTCTCAAAAACCAAAAAATAACAAATGCTGGTGAGGATGTAGAGATAAAGCAACTCTTATATACTCTATTGGTGGGAATATAAACTGGTACAGACATTATGCAAAAGAGTATGAAAGTTTGTAAAAATATTAACAAATATATGTACCATGTAATTTAGTTATTCTACTTTGGGGCATATATCCAAAAGAAAATCAACATACGTAAGAGATACTGTCACATCTATATTTATCATGTCCATATTCACAATAGCTAAGATATGGAATCAGTCTAGGTGTCTATCAACAGATGAATGTATAAAAATGTAGCTTATATGCACACTGGAATATTATTCAGTCGCCAAGAAAATGAAATCCTTTGTGTTTTTTTTTATTGGTTGTTCAAAACATTACAAAGCTCTTGACATATCATATTTCATACATTAGATTCAAGTGGGTTATGAACTCCCATTTTTACCCCAAATACAGATTGCAGAATCACATCGGTTACACATCCACATTTTTACATAATACCATATTAGTAACTGTTGTATTCTGTTACCTTTCCTATCCTCTACTATCCTCCCTCTCCTCCCCTCCCATCTTCTCTCTCTACCCCATCTACTGTAATTCATGAAATCCTTTATTTTGCAGCAAAATGGATAGATATGGAAGATATTATTTTAGGTGAAATTAGCCAGACAAGTAATACATATTCTCTTTCTTATGCAAAAGTTAAAAATAGTTGACCTGAATGTAGAATAGTGATTAAAGAGGTTTGGATGTGATTGGTGTACACTGTATGTAAAAAACACTGAACCCTATCATTATGCACATTTAATATGTTAACTGAATATTACAAGAATATTAATAAAAGAACCTACCATTCTAGATAAATTGGTTACTCATTACTACTGCAGTCTCGATTTGGGGCTTTGCTTATGCCATAGTTTCTGGAACATCTTCCTCCTCTGTATTAGAGCCCATCTGCTTTAGAGTGGCTTTTCATTAACATTTGGGAAACACTCCTGGGCCTAAAAACAGACCGAAGACAGTTCTTAGAGATCATTGAAGTATATTTTCTACTAGGCTTCCTAAAAGAAATATAATACAAACCACCTATGTAATTTTAAGTTTTCCAGAAGCTATATTTTAAAAGTGAAAAACTGATGAAATTAATTTTAATATATTTTTTTGACCTGATATGTACCTAATATTATTTTCACACGCAATCAATATAAAAATTTATTTTACATTTGTTTTCCTTCCAAGTCTTTGAAATGTGATTTACATTTTGCACTTATTGGAGTCTCAATTTAAATAAGTCACATTCCCAGCATCAATTTTAAATAGGGGAAGTTCTAGGTAGTCTATTTTCTATTTCCTTTTTCCTTAACCTTCTGGAACTCTGATGTGATCTGTCAAGCACCTGCCATTGTCATTTGGCCTCCTTTCATTATTTGATATATTTGTTTTATAAGGTAACTTGTTTCCTCATGAGGAACTCATTGAATGTCAAGGTTGGAAATAACTTTAACAAAATTATCATCTAATTCTTCTCTTGACATGGGACTCTTCTGCAACAAATGCCTATTAAACATGCATTTTGGTCTCCCTGGAGACAAAAATAAATCCAGTGGTGGAGCTATTCACACATGCTAAGGTATATATACTTCTTTTGCTAGTGCTAGAAGAGGATCTTCTCCAAATCTGAAATCTGTTTCCTTGAAATTTACATAGAACAAATGTACCTGATGGGTCTTTTTGTATTTGGAGATAATCTAGCAGCTTTCTCTCTTCAAGGGGAATCCTCTGAAATTCCACCAATACTCCTCATGCCTTCAAGTTATCTTCATGATTTTTTACTTCTCTCAAATAATTACAACTTGATTGAGATCTTTTTAAAAAATATTTTTTAGTTGTTGATGGACCTTTATTTTAAAAATATTTTTATATGAGGTGCTGAGAATCGAACTCAGTGCCTCACACATGCTAGGCAAGCGCTCTACCACTGAGCCATAGCCCCAACCCCCTGAGGTTTTAAAATGCTCAATCTAGAACTGAATACTAGGACTTCACATGTGGTCTGGCAAGTGAAGAGTATATTTGGATCTTTATTGGCTGCTTCTATAAGAGAGTTCAATTAGGCATCAGGACACATTACCAAAGGGAGAAGTGGTATTGGAGTAGGAGAATTACAACACATCAATTCATAACATCACTGCATCCTTGTTTAGTCCAGAACTCGACACACATACACCACACAGTTCTTTACGTAAGTTTAAAATCATTTCCTATCTTTTCAACTGAGCTAAGGAATCTTTGGGCTTTTGTTTTTTTGGCAGAGGTCACTGACCAATGAATTGAGTGGCAGAGGTAACTTTAGAAGTACTGAGCTGAGAATCTACAAGTTAGGGAAAGCGGAACTTGAGAACAGAGAATGTTGTATAAAGTGTACAGCAGTGAGAGGGCTCTGGTTCCTGACGACGGTGGCAATTACCCAGTTATTCATTCATATTGCTCTTCTTTTCACCTATAATAGGGATTATTTCCTCCATGTAGTCACCAAAGGTGGGTGGTTGGAAGACGAGGCCAAACGAAGCAATTTCAGGGAAAGACTCAAAAGTAGAGAGCCGCGGACCCCAGGCTTGGCCTGGTGCGTGTACTCGGACCATCACAGAATCCGCGGGAGCGTGCGCCCTCCCGGAGCGCGGCCTCGGGCCTTCACTCCCCAGAGCGGCGCGGGCGGGAGGCGGGGCGGCAGCGCGCGTACGCGGGCGGGGGCGGAGGGCAGCTGAGACGACGTGTCGACGTTGGCGCCGGTGCGGGCGATGACGTGTAGGCCCGCGCCGGCTCAGCGCCTTCACTCCTTGCCGGGTCTGTGCGTCTGTCCCCTCGGAGGGGCAGCCCTCGCGTGTGGTTCCCGGTGACTGGGAGTGACCTCAGAAGGGCCCGCGTGGGGCGCGGAGGAGAGGGGACGCGCAGCTGCCCACCGGCATCCTCGTCCCGGCCCTCCGCTCCCCACCAGACGTGGGAAGTAGAGATAAAACCGAAAGGGAGGGAGGCGCGGAGGCAGGAGCGGGCGGAGTGATGGGAACCGCGTGAGCGCGGCCAAGAGGTGAGGAGGTGGGGGAGTGGGAGGGAGGAGGAGAGGGGTGCAGCGGTCGGGAACGGGCGGGAGGTGGGGCCGCAAGACCCCTGGGCCAGCCTTAGTCAGACTGGGCAAGCCCGGACCTGTCACCCTTCTTCTGGCCTGGGACGCATCTGCTGGGACCTATCCCAGCTCAGTCCAGGAGTTTGAAGATGGGGGTGGGGATGAGAAAAGCCACTTACTTCCCAGGTGTAAAGGCCACAATGTGGCCACTTGGGGTTATTCTTGTGTCTTGTGTATGGGTTGTTTTCATTATTATTATTTTGGTTTCAAAGCCGTGGTGAGAGTTTCCTGTGGTTAGATTTTGGGAGGAAAATCTGCCTCCTGGTATATCACCCCCTGGCGCACACACACTGAAAAGTGAACAGACTGGGTAAGAAATTTACTATGGTGAACTGTGGATGAATTTAGCAGTTAAGGAGTCTAGAATGACATTTTGAAACAAACAAATTTGTTTGTGTGCTAGGGAGATGACACGGGTATGAGGGTGGTTTTTAAAGACAGATTACATATCATGAATTAACTTATTAATGAAATTCAGAATGCTCTGGTATTTGTTATTGTTTGGTTTAAAAGAAACAATTTTAGTGACAAAAGTTTGACATAAATGGTATCACATGGGCAGTTAAAATTGATAATAATGTTTTCAGTCTGTCTTACCTCAAGTTATGGTTAGGTTGAATAGTAGATATCTCCATAACCAGATTTAATGTTTAATTTTTTTTCTCATTATCACAAAAAGGAAGCACAAAAGTTGAGAACTCCACTTTTGATATTAGTCTAGATTGTGCTTCAGTCCATGTTACACCTTTATTTTTAATGATGGTTATAATAGTCTTACATGAGGAAAATGATCCCTAGAGATGCCAGTTAAGTGTAGGCTAAGTAAGCTTTGTCTTAAAGTGACTTAGTTTTTATGACTTAGCTTTCTTGATCCCTGTCAGTTTTTTGTCATTCATTCATTCATGTCTTCAAATGTGCCAAGCAATATGCAAATCTGGCAAATAAAGATACAGTCTGTGCTCATGGAATTTTGTATAGTAGTGGCACCCTTTTAAGAGTGAATCTTGACAAGGGTTCTTTTTCATACCATGAATATCTAGTTGATCAAGGCAAAGCTTTTTACAAGAATATACTATTATAGATGCTTATGTGTAACTGGCATTTAAAGAGGAACAGCATTAGTTGATGTTGTCTTTGGTTAAAAAGACAGTATACATGCTAGTGGTGTGCCATTTAAGAGGAGTAAGTTTTTCTTTTTGCAAAGTTGGTGTAAATATAAAGTTCACAATTGGAAATCTACCAGAAAAAAATTAGTATTTTTCCATTCTGTACATTAGTCTGATTAATTTACCATATGTTAATAACTTGTGATTTACATAAGTAATAACATAAAGCATATTTCTCAGGGACATGTCTATTGACTAAATAAATTTATTACTCAGTAATACCTTCCTTGAGGAGATAGTTGACATAAGCACTTTCAGCATGAAATATGTTGTGATATAAGGTGGTATAGTTTTCAACTTGAAGATGTCTACCTGAAATTGAAATTTTAGCAAAATCAGCATTTATTGATAGAAAAAGTACAGAATTATCAAGGAGAGTAAGATGCATATTAAATATCCCTAATCCCCAAATCCAAAATCTGAAGCATTTTAAGCTCTTACATGAACATCATAAATGGAAAATTACATACCATGAAACCTTTTTCATGGAAGAAAACATTAAAAGTACTATGTAAAATAATTTTCAGGCTGTGCATTAGTGGTATGTACCTATAATCCTAGCTACTCAGGAGGCCGAGGTAGAAGATCACAAGTTCCAAGCAGCTTTGGTAATTTAGCAAGACTGTCTCAAAATAAAAAGGGCTGGGGGTGTAGCTCAGTGGTAGAGCAATCCTAGGTATAGCAGAACAAAAAAAGTACCATCTCATTTAAGTCCTGCATTTTGCATGTGGATGAACAAATGAAGATAAATCTATTATTTGTTTTCATTTTTCTATTTACTCACTATGTTTTACAAGTTTTTCCTATTTTTATGCTACCTCTAACTTTTGATTCAAAGATAGTACAATTTAATTCATGTTTGAGCATTCTGTTTAGATTTTGAAATGTGAAAGGGGCATTAGAAGTCATTTTGTAAACCACTTTGATTTTATTGATGAGAAAACTGATACTAGAGAAGTTGGCTGATTTTCTACCATGCATGAAGCAAAAAATGGCACCAGAACTTAGTTTTTCTTATTTTTATTTTACTTATACTATATTATTCTGCCTCTCCTCATTGTTATCTGACTAGACTAATTCTTGGGGAGCTTTTAAAATCAAGATATAATCTCATTTATCTTGCTGGTTTCAGTATATTTTGGCTAATCTTCCTCTGTTTCTCTGATTAACTCTCCAAAGAGGATTTTTAGGAATTGCATTCATTATCAGAGGTTTATAGTAGTAGCATGGAAAATTAGGTTGAAATTTGGAGAGGCACATAATAAAAATTCTAGTAATGAGTAAGAAATTTACAGTTAACAATAAGAGATTTTAGGATATATTTTAATAAGATAATTGCTGATCAGTGAATATTTATATATGAAGAAGGAGAAGTTTACACCTACTTATTTAATCACTAAACCAAAGATTGCCAAACTACTGAATCAGAATTCCTAGCCATGAAACTCTCCAGTGATTATAAACAGTTTGTATTTTGGGGTAAATTCTACTTTAAACCTATGAACTCAACAGCTCTTACTTTAGGATACTATCTGTCTCATTAAACCTGAACTTCAAAAGAAGCAAAGTAATTTTTCTCAGGATTATAGAGAAGCAGTTGCTAATGTTTTCTACTATTTTGAAAGATTTGTTAGGTCATTTTAAATTAAGTGAATGGCTAGCAAAGTATTCAGTTATGGGTAGCTAAGAAATATGATACATAGAATTTGATAAGAGAAAGTGCAAATTCCTTTTTCCAAGAGAGGAAATTCATGCTTACTGCTGAAATAGCTCCTCTAGTTTGGAAAATTATAACTCTTTTTTTGAAAGTGAATAGAATGCCCTTAGGCTAATCAAATGGAATGATATGAAGATGTTAAATTCTTCTCTTAAGCATAAATAGAAATAAACACACCTTTATCTTCATTTAAGAAACTTAATTATAAAATTCTACATAAATTATTTTGAAGAAATTTATTTGGGGGTGATAACTCAATTTACAAAATAATTTCAGTATATCTTTTCCAATTTGAATGCATTTTCTAAAATGAGGCCTGCTTTGGAGTAGTACCTTTAACACTAAGGAGTCTTACTGAACATTCTCCAAGGAGTGAAGGAAGCTTTGCAAAAATATAGTATTATCTTTATTCTGAGGATTGGAGTGGTAAGGAATGCCTAAAAATCACTTTTGGGTAGCTTCATGGTTTTACTCTGAATATACATCATCTAGCAAATATTTACTAAGTTCCTAAGCATAGGCCAATAACCACACAAGGTACTGGGGAAAAAAGCAAAAACTACATTACTTATGATCTATTGAAGTTCAGTGTGAGGTTCCTGGTTTTGTAGGACTCTTGAGTGTACTGACCTGAGGCAAGGTCTTGTCACTCATTCATTGAATCTGAAAATCATCTTGGAAAGAAAATGAGTACACTGTTAGGAAGTTTAAAGAGTGGATGATTTCACTTCAATTATTCAGACCTAATGTGTTCATACATTATTTATTAAAAAACAGAATATTGGAAAAACATTGATAAGATGCTGAATCCAATGGATATTTGACCTCATGTAATATTTTGCATGGTTAATTACTACCTCTTTCTTTTTCTTTTCCTTTTGTTTTGATGGTATCACACTTCTGGTTTTCTCTGGTCTTTTTGGCCTCTTGCTATTCAAAATCTCCTTTATAGACCTTTTCGTTATTTATTCCTTGAAGGCTTGTGCTTCTGCACTTTCTGTCTTCTTCTTAGTCTTCATACAAATCTGTGGGTGATTTTCCCCGCAGTATTTACAAGGGTAGGCACTAGATTGATTTTTGCTAGCTTGGTCTTCCCAGCATGCTGTCCAGCATGTAGTAGAAATACCAGCTAAGAAGTATCAGTGAAATGAGTAAAAGCTGTTTTATTCATTTGCTGTGAGTTATCCTTCCTAGCCCACCTCTGTCCTAGCGTTTAGCAACTATTGACTTTTCTTTTAACCTTACTTTTTCTTTTCTGCTGTATTGTTTGAGACATGAAAATGCTTGCCTAAATATTAATTTTGGAATTGTCTACTTGTACAATTTTGAGTTCTTTGAAAGAATGACATCATCAGTTGAATAAATCACAACTTGTTAGATTTGGGGGAAGGCATAAAAGCTTTTCTTTCATGTTTGAGCATATTTTCTACTTTGTAAAACATTTTATCTCAGAAGATTGAATAATCAAGTTTCTTTTTTTTTTTTTTGATTATTCAGTTTTTTTTGAAAAATTTTTTTTTGGGTCTTTTGAAGATGATATAAATAGATGTGTAGGAACCTAAGTCAAATACTGCCCCATTTTGTGGCAATTTTGTCTTCTCTTTGTGCTTTCTGTCAATTCCTCCATCCATTCATTACATAAAAATTTACTGAGGACTTCCTATGCCTTAGACACTGATTTAAGTGCTATGGATATAGCAGGGAGCCAAGTTCATAGTCTATTGGATGAAGCGGACATAAACATGGAAAAGAAGTCATAAGTGCTGTGGAGTATAGTGGATTAGGTACAGAGAAGGATCAAGGAGGGGGGTGTTATTGGATAGGATGACTAAGATAGTCTTCTTTGTAAGATATTTGAGCAAAGACCTGAAGGAAACAAAGGAATTGTTTATGTGGTATCTCCAAAAGGAGAAATTGATGTTTATATCATTGGAAGGAAGGGCAATGTGATGCCATAATGAGCAAGGAGGAGCATTTATGTGGTCAGATTAAAACATAGAACATTCCTTCAGGCCTTTGAA